GAAAGTGCGAGGAAGTTGTCTGGATGAAAAAGTGTAGTTCGGTTACAGGCGCAGACTCGGCAAACAGCAATAACTACGGATTAGTGACTGAGCTACTCGATGACTGCAAGAGTAATCTGACTTATTCGCAGGGCATTAAAGCTAGGAAGTTTTTACAGCGCTACGCGAATATCTTCTCCAGTCAAGAAGGGGACCTTGGAAGAACTTCGATGGTTCAGCACAGGATAGATATCGGAAGCGAAAGACCAATTCGTCAACGAGCAAGACGGATACCAATTGCAAAGGAAAAAGAAGTTGAAGGCCTTTTGGAGGACATGAGAAGGAATAAGATTATTGAACCGTCTACAAGTCCGTGGTGCTCACCTGTTGTGTTAGTGAAGAAGAAAGATGGTAGCACGAGATTTTGTGTGGACTATAGGCGTCTCAATGATGTCACTAAGAAGGACAGTTACCCGTTACCTCGAATCGACGACACTTTGGATACCTTAAGTGGCATGAAATGGTTCTCGACCCTAGACCTGAAATCTGGATACTGGCAGGTGGAAATTCATCCAAAAGACAAGGAGAAGACAGCTTTCTCGACCGGTAAAGGTTTATGGCAATTTAACGTCATGCCCTTCGGATTGTGCAACGCGCCTGCCACATTTGAGCGACTCATGGAGTGTGTACTTGCAGGCTTAGTTGGAGAGGCTTGCTTAGTCTATCTAGATGACATCATCATTGTCGGCCGTGACTTCGAGGACCATTTGCGAAACTTGGAGCGAGTTTTCGCCAAAATAGAGGGAGCCAAATTAAAGTTGAACCCGAAAAAGTGTCGTTTATTCAGGAGCAAGGTCAACTATCTCGGCCATGTTATCTCCAGTGATGGAATTCAGACAGACCCGGAGAAACTGGAAGCAGTTCAAAAATGGCCTACCCCTAAGGACAAAACCGAAGTGCGGGCATTCCTCGGCCTATGCTCATACTACAGGCGTTTTGTTAAGGGATTCTCAGAGATAGCCAAGCCATTACATCGGCTGACAGAAGATAAACGACCATTCAGTTGGGATGGGACTTGTGAAGATTACTTTCAGAAACTGAAGAAACAACTGTGTGAAACACCAATCCTGGGGTATCCACAATCTGAAGGTCAGTTTATAGTCGACACAGATGCAAGCAACACGGCCATTGGAGGGGTGTTATCTCAAAAACAGGGTGAAAGAGAAGTTGTTATTGCATATTTCAGCAAATCGTTATCCAAGCCAGAGAGAAACTACTGTGTAACAAGAAGAGAACTCTTGGCTGTTGTAAAGACGCTACAACATTTCAACAAATATCTCATCGGCAGACAGTTTTTACTGCGAACTGATCACGCAGCCTTGAAGTGGCTACTGCAATTCAAGAACCCGGAAGGTCAAGTAGCTCGATGGATTGAGCAGCTCCAGGAGTATGACTTCAAGACGGAACACCGCAGCGGAAAGACGCATGGAAATGCCGACGCACTCTCACGAAGGCCGTGTTCGGAAGACTGCAAACATTGTGTTAAGCAGGAATCTAATGAAGTTACATTAAAGCTAACGAGGACAAGTCCTTTGGGTCTCTGGGAGAATGATGCTATGAGAGAGGCTCAAGAAAGTGACGACGACCTGCGGCACATCATCACATGGAAGAAGCGGGGCGATGTAAAACCAAACTGGAGTGAGGTTGCACCCACTGGCGCTGTCACTAAGGCGTACTGGGCGCAATGGGACAGTCTGATACTTCAAAACGGAATACTCTACCGGAAATGGGAGAAGACTAACGGCAGAGAGTTCCATCTTCAGATAATTGTCCCGAGAACGAGAGTACCAGATGTTCTCCGTGAAATACATGATGGCGTATCAGGAGGTCATCTAGGTGTCAAGAGAACGTTAACAAAAGTGCGAGAACGATTCTACTGGTTGCATTGTCGAGATGATGTACAGGATTGGTGCCGCAAATGTACTACTTGCGCTGCTGTAAAAGGACCACAGACCAGAAGCCGTGGGAACCTGCGGTTGTATAACGTCGGTGCACCGTGGGAACGAATTGCAGTTGACGTAGCTGGGCCATTTCCTGTAACGGAATCGGGAAACAAGTATTTTATGGTCGTCATGGACTACTTCACCAAATGGCCCGAAGTGTTCGCCATACCAAACCAAGAAGCTACAACAGTCGCTTCTAAGTTAGTCGAAGAAGTGATATGTCGTTTTGGTGGTCCTCTAGACATCCTCTAGAAATCCATTCCGATCAGGGCAGGAACTTCGAATCACAAGTATTCCAGGAAGTGTGTAGAATTTTGGGCATGCATAAGACGAGGACCACCGCGTGCCACCCACAGTCTGATGGAATGGTTGAGAGATTTAACCAGACCCTTGAGAGGCATCTGGCGAAATTGGTAGACGACAAACAAAAGGATTGGGACAAGTATATACCACTCTTCCTTCTGTCGTACCGAACCGCCGAGCATGAGAGCATAAAAGCTACCCCGGCGTATGTCAATTACGGTAGAGAACTACGATTACCAGTAGACCTATTGACAGGAGGGTCACCGGAGGGACCACAGACCGTACAAGACTATGTCTGCAATTTAAGGGAAAAAATGCGCTATATACACGCCTTGGTTCGGGAAAATGGGTTACAGTCAAGTGAGAACATGAAAACCAGATACGACCGGAAATCGAACACGGACGGCTTCGAAGAAGGGTCACTGGTGTGGCTGCATAACCCAACTCGTCGGAAAGGGAAATCCCCAAAGTTGCAGATCAAGTGGGACGGTCCATACAAAGTGGTTACCCGACTGAATGATGTGACTTATAGGATTCAAAAGCAACCAAGAGGGACATTCAAAGTGGTACACATAGACCGTCTGGCGCGTTACCATGGCAGTAACAATGATGCTCGGGACGAGCATCTCTAAGAGGGGAGTAGTGTTATGAACACACAAAGGAACTAACGCCATCTAGCGTCAACTATTAAAATCACTAAAGAACAAAGACGACATAAAACCCCCTATTCAATACTAGATGGCGTTAGAGGAACTGCTGTGGAACTATAGTCTCGAAAACCGGGTACATTCGCGAACTTTCCGGAATCACGAACATGTTCGGGCGTGTCGGGTACGTTCCAGGAAGGATCTTTCTGGATTAGTCTGGAACCGGTCTCGGCCCATATAAAAAGCCGCGGGGAGGCGAGCGAAGACAGTTCAGTTTGAGCTACCTTCGAGGCGACTTCGGAGTGAAAACCTAGTGTGATCAAGAGCGATACCAGTGAAACCTACGACTTGGCTACAAAATAGGACATCGTTAGTGCTTAGTGTTTGGACCTAGTGCTTTGTGTTGGACCTAGCGCTAGTAAATAAAGTCTTCAAAAGAGTCAGCAGGTCTTTCTCTCCAAATCCTTCGAACCCCTAACACGTAACAATATAATAGGTCCTCCAGGTACTGTCTTTTAAATTACTAACAAAAAATATTAAAGGCTATAAAAAAAACTCAACGAGTATATGTATAAAAATGATAGAAGGAATATTCAGGGAATTCCAAAATAGATTTCAAGACATAAATAGTTTAAATCGCCTCTTGATTTTTTTTTTAAATTAACATTTCCGTTTACAATATAGTTATGACCCAAAAATCATTCCAACTCTCCAGGTTGGAATTAATAGAGATGCAAGAACATCAAGTTGCACAATTAAAATATAAGTCGACGTCATTTACTGAATTTTGGAAATTTGTACGAGAATCGAAGTGCCAAAAAGGCTGCTTGTCGAATTATTTCAATATTCGGAACAAAGTACTTATGTGAGTCATTTCATTTCAATTTAAAACTCGTATTATAAATCCAAACACCGATCAGTATTAACTAACAGCATCTCTAAGAATTACTGAGAAGTGCTTGATGAGTAAAATAAATGTGTTTAATTTGTAATATTTTAATACAATACACATATGTACTTTTATTTATATTTTTTCATTAAATATTCCTAATTTCTGTAACATTTTTAATAACTTTTTTGCATACCTTTTAAATAAATGTTAAATTGAGGCTCGCGAAAAATTTCATATTTTGTAAAATGGCGAGTATCAAGAAACTTGCTTGATAAATAGTATCGTACTATATTTAAGCCAATTGTAATATATAATATAGTACAAAATGTACTATATTTTTATTGCCAATTCAATTGCCGCACTTTTTTTATACATTAACCGTAAACTGGAACATATCTACTGCGTGGTTTAGGGAATATCAGAACGAAATTAACGACGTTAATTTGTTGTTTTGTTTGTCATAAACGTTAGTTTTCTTACTAACTAAACATATTTTACTAATTTTTCGCGAAATGCCGCTTGCTTTCGAGGTTTTGTAAGATTGAGAAGAAGATTGTTTATGATTAATTTTTCTTCCAGCGCAGTCTCTGCACTTACGATAAAACTTTAAATTATTATTTTGTTTGTAGAACAAAACCTCGGCGCTGCGGGACTCGAATCTGGGTCTAATCTAAGCGACCGAACATACCACACAACGCTAAAATCTTGACATAATAGTAGATGTTCGTTGTATTGCAATTTCTTTTTTCTTAAAAAAAATTAGTTTACTTTTTTAATTAATTATAATTTACTTTTATAATTAATTATAATTTACTTTTTTAATTAATTATAACTTACTTTTTTAATTAATTATAATTAACTTTTTTAATTAATTGAAATTACTTTTTTAATTATAAAAATAAAATAATTATGATGAAAATATAGTTTTCTTTACATTATTGAATTATAGATATTTTAACTAGTATTTGTATTCATATTTGATAATACTGTCCCAATTATGTATACTACTAAATAACTACATCGGGTTAAGTTAAGAAATAAAAGGCGTAAAAACTCTATTTAAACCATTTATTGAATATCAATATTTGCTACGCAATCTTAAAAGATATCAGTCTTAAATAAATAATACTATTTACAATTGAGATCAGTCGGGTCATACGTTGACCTGAGGGTTCAATCTACTTCCTCTACTGTGGGACCATCACGTGGGCCACCGTACATGCCACCTGGCATTCCACCAGGCATTCCTCCCGGCATACCGCCTGGCATACCACCAGGCATACCACCAGGCATACCGCCCTGTGCTGCTCCATGCATCTTGCTCATGAGTGGCGAGCAGACCCGTTGCAGCTCCTTGAGCCGGTGCTCGTACTCTTCGCGGTCGGCCAGCGTGTTGTTGTCGAGCCATCGAAGGGCGTCTTCGCAATGTTGGCGAGCAGTGTTCTTGTCACTCTCACTTAGCTTGTCGCCTGCCTCGTCCACCGCCTGTTTCACGCCGAACACGTAAGTCTCGAGCTGATTGCGGGCGGTGACACGCTGCCGCTGCCTCTCGTCCTCCTCTTTATATCGCTCTGCCTCAGCGAGCATGCGATCGATCTCAGCCTGTGACAGCCGGCCCCGGTCGTTCTTGATCACGATGTTCTTGCTGCGGCCCGTGCTGTTCTCTTTGGCGGACACGTTCAGGATGCCGTTGGCGTCCATGTCGAATGTCACGTCGATCTTGGGCACGCCGCGCGGCGCCGGTGGAATGCCCGTCAGGTCAAACGTGCCCAGAAGGTTGTTGTCCTTGGTCATTGCGCGCTCTCCCTCGTACACCTGAATAGTGACCGCTGGTTGGTTGTCAGAGTAAGTGGTGAATGTCTGCGACTGCTTGCACGGGATCTTGGAGTTGCGTTCGATGATCTTGGTCATGACACCACCGGCCGTCTCGATGCCGAGAGACAGCGGCGCCACGTCCACCAACAGCACGTCCTGGATCTTAGAGTCAGACTCTCCGCTTAGGATGGCAGCTTGCACGGCGGCGCCGTAAGCCACCGCCTCGTCCGGGTTTATGGACAGGTTAAGCTTCTTGCCGCAGAAGAAGTTCTGCAGCAGGCTCTGCACCTTGGGGATGCGCGTGGAGCCGCCCACCAGCACCACGTCGTGGATCTGGCTCTTGTCCATCTTGGCGTCCTTGAGCGCCTTCTCCACTGGCTCCAGGGTGCCGCGGAACAGGTCCGAGTTGAGCTCCTCGAAGCGGGCGCGGGAGACGCGCGTGTAGAAGTCGATGCCCTCGTAGAGAGCGTCGATCTCCAGGGTGGCCTCGGTGCTGGAGGAGAGCGTGCGCTTGGCGCGCTCGGCGGCGGTGCGGAGGCGTCGCAAGGCGCGCGGGTTCGAGCGCAGGTCCTTCTTGTACTTGCGCTGGAACTCGTCCGCGAGGTGGTTCACCAGTCGGTTGTCGAAGTCCTCGCCTCCCAGGTGCGTGTCGCCGGCAGTCGCTTTCACCTCGAACAGGGAGCCCTCGTCGATGGTCAGGATCGACACATCGAAGGTGCCGCCGCCGAGGTCGAAGATCAGCACGTTGCGCTCGCCCTTGAGGTTCTTGTCCAGACCATACGCCAGCGCGGCCGCCGTGGGCTCGTTGATGATGCGAAGCACGTTCAGCCCTGCGATGGCACCTGCGTCCTTCGTAGCCTGCCTCTGAGAGTCGTTGAAGTACGCTGGCACGGTGATCACGGCGTCACGCACTGTGTTTCCCAGATATGCCTCCGCAGTCTCCTTCATCTTCGTCAGCACCATGCTGCTGATCTCCTCGGGAGCGAACCTCTTCTGTTCACCCTTAAATTCGACCTGAATCTTGGGCTTGCCGCAGTCGTTAACCACTTGAAGGGCCAGTGCTTCATGTCCGCTTGGATCTTGGGATCGTCGAACTTGCGCCCGATAAGCCTCTTCGCGTCGAACACCGTGTTGCTGGGGTTGAGGGCCACCTGGTTCTTGGCCGCATCTCCGATGAGCCTCTCGGTGTCCGTAAATGCCACATACGAAGGCGTCGTCCTGTTGCCCTGGTCGTTGGCGATGATCTCCACGTTGCCGTGCTGCCACACGCCGACGCACGAATACGTTGTTCCCAGATCGATTCCGATTGCTGGCATCTTTTTCTATTAATATATTCAGTTATAGACGGATAAATTATTAATTCGCTTGTGAAATACTTTCGGTTAGTACCGAACTCTCCTCTCTGTAATATTCTTCGTATCGTGTTTCAAATCAGTATGAGTTCCCGCGCCGGCTGCCGCGCTTTTATATTAAACGAATAAAAAGTCTAGAACGGTCGAGCTGCATCTAGAGCTGACCAATGAAAACGTACGGTTCAGCGAATATTCTAGAAACAGTGTCGCGAACCAATAGAAGTGGCCTGCTAGAAAGAGATGGTATATGTTTGACATCACAACAAGGTTGTGGGGATGCCTTATGGAAAAAATTTACATTTTATTAAGGAGAAATACTTACTTATTAGTTCTGAAAGGATGTACTTACGTACAATCACATAATAATATGCGCATTGAATTATTTCTATTTTATTTTAATGTATTTCTTAGTAAAAACTTTAATAAAATTAAGAATTATTAAAACTGAATAAATCATTTTTTTTCGGAACGAATTAGCTATTTAACCTCGAACGGAATAAAAATGTTTGTTAAGCCTCACTTATAAAACATCACACCTCATCAAAACCTCACAAATTTTCTATAAAGTATGAATCATTATTTTTTCTTTACTGTTAAAAGGATAGAAATATTATCATAGATACGTTTTTACTTACGTTTTATAAACATTATAAGTATTATGTTGATTTTTTAAACTACAAATAAAATATTCATTCTGATATTATTTATATAAAACCGTAAATTATTTAATATTTCAATAATTAGTTTACTGAAAATACTGAGGAAATAAACGCAAACAGTTGCAACATCGCTGTCGTGTAAAAAAGAGAGCGGCTTATTGAAGGGTTAGAGAGAAAGTTGAGACAGAATTATACGTCGTTTATGTATACAGACATTGTTGTATGTAGGACAGTTCATACTTGCTCTGTTTTACACTTTTCCATTCTATCGAAGCTACGAGAAATTTCTAGTAGACTTTGAGCTTATTGTTCCGGAATATAACCGAGCGAAAAAATCGATGGGATGGCGCCTTAGCAATTGCTTTGATGTGATATCTCTTGTTAAATGTTTGCAGTTGTTTTAGTCAAACCAACTACTGATACAGTAGATATACATGAACATTTCAGAATATTATGAAACTTGCTTAAAAATATTTAGCTTTTATTTTAACCCTCTTATATTGTAAGGAGGTTGTTATTGGTAGCTGGAACCTAAAATTAGTAAAGCGATTTGCTTTGATTATTCTCAAAGGCGTTTTGTAACGCTGTTTAAATACTGCGTCATCACTCATCAATAAGCAACAACTGTTGTTTTTATTAAATATAAAATTGGTTTTCTTCGTTAGGACGTGTGGTTAACCTAAAGTGTTTTAAAGATTATTATTGTTAGATAAAAATTATAAAATTGATGTTAGTTTATTTAACATTCATTTTCGCTGCATTCTGAACACTTTGGAAAATTATAAACTAGAAGCTCAAGCTAGTGGAGTATTCTCGCTGGATTTTTGGTAAAATTCGTATTATTTAACCTATTTGACTCCCCATGTGCATAGATGAAATTCATACACATTTCAGTATCCTGTTTTTAAACGATTTTTCGCGTTGAATAAGTTTTATTTGTATCTACAACTTATGCGTTGAATTGGCAGCAATTGTTCGTGATTGAAATAATTCGAGAATTTAACCAATGATCCGCATATTTCCACCAGCGACCAATCGTTCGTTCGCCCGTAGGCGACTGCACTAAACTAAGGATTGAATTAAGCGACTCAAACGAGAATAGGAAGTCGCTCCGATTTTTTATTGATCAATTTTTAGCCAATAGTCTAATAGATTTTACAAAATATTAAAAGTGACGAACATTCAAAACCATTGACAAGACTTATTTTTTCGTTTTTCAGAGTAATGCAAATTTTTATTCAACCCTTACAATCTTTTATTAGAAATTACTTAAACCGGCTGACGGAAAGCAGAGCTATACTGCCTTAAAGTCAGCGCAAGGTTTCCTCACGATGTTTTCCTTCACCGCTGAGCACGTGATAAGTCAGCACTTAAAATTAACAATTTCATTGTTGCCGGCACCGGGGATCGAACTCAGGTTGCTCGGGTTAATAGAATTAAAAGCGAGTAGCTGGAAGCTGGACAATTAGCTATCACGTAGTGTTGCATAACCATCGATAGTTTGACTATCGATAGTTGACCTCGAAAACTATTCAGGTTATCGATTGTACTATCGATAATGTCGTCGAAGTCAATAGTGTCAATACTACCGATAGTATCGACGGCTCTCCAAGTGCCAATACTAATGACAACAGCAATACTATCGATAGTGTCGATAGTAATGCATGCTATAGTATCGATAGTATTGCAATTGCCATTACTTTTTGACAAAAACTATCGATTCTATCGAAAGCCTTGATAGGTTTGTACTATCGATAGCCAGTAAAAGGCTATTGATAGTACAAAATCATCGATCATTAATTTAAATCGTGATAGTATCACGACTTAAATTAATTTAATTATTTTAGTAGGGGCGTTGCTAATGTTAAAGAAGCAGGAGTGTAATAAATAGCTATTAATTTATAGTACCTTGAGGACCGAGCTTTGCTCGGTTTTTTTTTGGTAAATCGTGTATTTTGGAAATTAGATACAAATTACTGAGTAATGAAATATGCATAATATATTTCGATCTTACCGACGTAATAATAAGAAAATATGAACTGGTGTTTTTCACAAAATAAAGAACTATAAAAAAAGGGGCAATAAATAGATTTGAAAAAATTGGCCATTATAATTCATATAGGCAAAGTACAATTTATGCAAAGTGAACCGACTAAAGGGTGTATGGCATGATATAATGCGGAATGCCATTAAATAAAACTCACAAATGTGCTCACTATTAATTGTATTTACATTAGAAGAACTTTAGATATGTTCACAATATTTTCACCCTTAAAATAATGTTATTGTTAACAAAGCAAATAGACCGTTGTCTTCTCAGCGGCGAGTCTCGAGGCAGAGGTAGCTCCCCGGTCGCCGACCAATCAGGGGCGACTCATTTGCAAACCGCGAGTCGCGCGCTTTTGCGCGCTAAATTTAAAATAGACGCGGCGGTTGTTTTCATCCGCCACAGGTGCTATAAGGCAATCTAGCTCTAGCCAGAACGTCTCTGAATGTATGAATCAGTCAGTTGTAACTGTAGAGGATGTTACAAATTTTGTTTCATTTTAACTTAATTAGTTTGTTTGAAAAATATATTTTTTTTAATTATGGATATTTTTCAACGTTAATATTTTTTTATGATTATTGGCAAGTAGCGTTAGACGTGTGTTCATTGTCGCGTTGGTAACGACACGCTGTATATTAAAGGAATAAGGTTTTAAAGGCGAAATTAAAACCACATTTTTATTTTTGCAATTATTCCCGCTTTTGCATATTTGTAAAAATTTATTATAATACTATTAATACAAAATTGCATTCAACATCTCAATAGTACATTTAACTGATGTGTTGTCCAATGTTTTTTAGGTAAGCTTTTAATTTAATTTCCGCTCAAGGCGTTATGAATTTCAAGTTAACGCGGTATTGGTTATATTTCCGGATTAAGTAAACCAAAGAGTACTTTTATATATCTGAAGTAAACTTAAATGATTGATTTATATACGGTGTACCTAAGACCTAACTGACCTAAGGGTTTAATCAAATAAAACAAGTTTTAAGAATCGAACGGTGGCTTTGTTTCACAGAAATCAGTCTTATAATCAATTTTACAGTGCATACTGTAAATAATACTAGGAATTAACTTACTTAAAGTTTTATATAACTAACGCCGTCTCTTCTTCTGCGGTGTCTTCACTTCCTCCTCCACTTCGCCGTTCTGTTCCTCGCTCTGGTCATCGTGCTGCTTCCTTCTTACGGGTCCGGTGTGGGAAATCGGCACCGTCCGCTCCCCCTTTTGGCTGGACTCCTTCGGGGCCACCACGGTCAGAACTCCGTCGGACGACAGCCTGGACTCGACCGCTTCCGGGTTGCAGCCCTCGGGCAGGGCGTACCGCCGCTTGAACTGGCGCGATATGAAGCCGTGCTCGTCCCTCTTTTCCTCGTGTCTCCCTTCCACCACCACGTAGCCGTCGACCGTCTTCACGCTGATCTCGTCCGGCGCGAAGTGCTGCACGTCCAGGTTCACCTGGAACTTGTCCCGGTCGCTCTTGATTGTGGAGCCGACGTCGCGGACCGAAGCGCTGAGGTTCCTCCACGGGCGTACGTACTGGCGCATCCGTATCACGGGCCGATCCAAAACGTCCGCTAGCAAGTCGTCGGTGCCAAAATCCAGGCCGAAGAGCTGGTCACGCAGACGCCTCGGGCCGAAATCGTCGAGTAAATACGGTAAAAGGGCCATTTTAAGATAGAAACTTGCGTTAATTGTGTTATTCGCTCGCTCAACAAACTGGTACACTCGCTTTTCAATGTATTGCTCGGTTGCGGTAGGCACGTCGCGTCGCTTTTATATCAGGCGTCGTGCGTGTAGCATGCTAGAGTGTTCAAAACTGGTTTTCTGGAATCGCTTTTGCGCGAATCTGTTGGCGATTGCAACTACGGTGAAGGTATATTTATTGCTTAGCATTACATAAAAATCGCGAATTTTAAGCACCATTCGTATTATTATTGATTTAAATTCATTCATTCAATAATAAATACATTAAACAGATTGTGCGTCGTGAAAGTGTTTAAACATTTCTAGAGTTTTTAATTCGTTCTGGAAAATAAAAGTTAGAAGCGTTTTAATGGAATCCTAATGCGCGACATCTGTTGGTTTGAACAGTGCGCTAAATATTACAACTACGATGATTCAGACTCAATGTTTATATTTATTGCTTATTTTAGGCCTGTCTAAGAATTTTATCTAAAATTATATAATTTTTCGAATTAATGTAGACGTACACATGTCGTTGTTCATTTTAAATTCGCGCCATCTATTTTCAAAAGTTAAGGATTCTTAAAGGTCCATATTAAATAGGTAATTTAAGTTTGCATATCTAATAATTATGTAGTTGTCTACATACATAGAATACAAATGATAAAAATTGTAATATTATCTGTTCAGTGGTTAATGTTACCTGATTACCACTTACTGCACTTAATTCGAACATGTTGAAATATGTAAAAAATATTAAAGATTTGATTGAAAATACCAACGAATATTATTGGTGAAAATATCTAAAATGTCATCGTAATCATGAGGTATCAACAGAACAGCGATTTGTTTTCAGTGTGAAATAAAGTAAACTAGGTACACGTACTATGAGTTTATCACAATCATAGAGAAAAGAATCAAGGATATATGAATCCATTTGTGATTTATCTTAAGATATTTTGTAACTCGTAACATATGTTCTCATATAAATCACAAATGGATTTTTGATATTCAATGGCATTTTTACATGTATTAACAGTGAATATGGATTATAGCTAATAAAAAAATAGCTAATAATAAATGTACCTAGCTGATTATAATTATCCATTGTTAATAAAAAATATTTCTATTAAAATTTCATTGGGTACGGTATTGGTTGGTTTGTATTTAATTCTATACCTTAGAGGCATACAAATAGACTAAAACTCAAAATATCATTATTAAAATAGACGCTTGCGCATTCTTATGAAAAGAAATCGAATTTTACATAAAAATTTATATTGATATATAAGTTCAAATGATTTGTTGATGTTTCAAATGGTTCGGAATCACAATTTCATGACTACTAGTTGTAGATTATATTTTTGCGAGTATATACTATAAAATCAAAGTAAGTATTGTACTACATATTTTATAGATGATTTCAGTTTTTGTATAATTCATAAGGCTAATGACGATCCTATAGATATCTATCTATATCTCTTGGCTCAGATTAGAGAAATAACTTTGATTATATACTTGTCTTTACGAGTGTATGATTAAAGACAAAGAACTTCTTTTTGTAAGTTTGAGTAAGTTCTTTCCGTATTTTGACCCTCTGGGTGAGGTGTGATTGATGTTTTTATTTTTTAAGGTTAACTACAACACATTACAAAGTACTTATACAAAGGAATAGGGAATAGATTATAATTCTTAATGCAGCCTAAAATTAATATAACACGGGACTAAATACTGAACGTAAGTAAGTACACGAAATTGTGAATGTCATTCACAAATCTGTTCAATACAGGATATTTCACGTGTTTATTAAAATAATCTCCGGTAAACACGTGTTCAGTGTTTTACAAGTGATACACGTGTTTAACTGAAACGTGCATAGTGTTTACAATTTTCATTTAGTCAGTTGTCATGGACAGCACTAATTCAAAAAAGTACCATAATTATGTCTTCTATGTCGAAAGGTGCATAAAATCAATACATTCATTCATAGATTAGTCTAGAAGCCGGGGTTGTCGTTACTTGCTACTACCGGTATAAGCAATTCCGGAAGACTGCAGCGCTTCTAGCGGCGCAAAGTAAAACTACAAAGCGGAAACACAATGAAAGTTCTAGGTACTTTATGTAAATTGTTATTTAATGGTATTTATAAATCGAAAACGTTTACTCAAAAAATGCTAGACGTTTAAACTAAACATAATGCTATTTTTATAATTTAATATACATAAAGTTTCATTCAGAAAACTTTCAATCTTAATTAAAATATCGAAAGTTCTAGAATGTTCTCGAATGTTCCATGGAAAATACAAAATGCTTACATATTGCCACCTTGCGGCGAATAGCAGAACTAAATTATGATAGTCTGATATTACAAACCTTTTACAAATGTGGACAAAAATATTAAACTAAATAAACTATTAAAAATATAAATCTTAATAATGTAATCAAATTATGGGATGAAATTAATTAAAAAGATACTTTTTAAAAATTTCGTTTTTAATTTGTTAATTATACATAGTAAGAATTTTTATGCCTATTTTAATCTTCTGTGTTACGAACCTTTGTAATATTAGTAAATACTAGTCAATATTTTTTTTATCTATAAGCTAACTTTTTAATTATTTATGTTTGTGTAAAATATATTTCTATTGTATGTACCTTTGCTTTTTTTGTTTGCTTTATCTCTTTAATTTATTTGTATTTTGTTAACGATTTGTAAAATTAAAATAACATAATTTTAACCATTTTTTTAGCGGTACCTACTATTACTTTTAAAGTGAATAAAGTGAATATATATTAGTACTAAAGTGATAGCATTTTTATTTTAGTTTTAAAATAACGTATGATTATTAAAGAGAAATGAAACATTTTAGATGTAAATAAAATGAACTTTAGTGGTATAAATGAAAATAAAAGTTAAAATCATGAAATAATATGTCGCATAATATCAAATATGTGACATGCGCAGAGTATTGATTTTTTGCCAACGTTTGTAAACCTCTGGAAAGTAGCTCGTCCGATCTAGAAAATTCTACTCGTTCACAGATGTCGCCCACAACCGATCCCTATATAAGAATCGTGACGTCTGGAACCGGCATTATTACTGAATATACGAGCGAGAGAAGCGTTATTGGGATTCCACGATACTCAACACGTGCTCTTTATTTAACCGCGTTACTATACTAGTCAGTATTCTGTGAATAAAAAGATCGTCGTGCATTATTGTTAATAAAAGTATATCTAGTGAATAATACAAGATGCCGGAAGAAATGCAGGTTGCCGAGGTGGAGACCTTCGCCTTCCAGGCGGAGATCGCCCAGCTTATGTCATTGATCATCAACACATTCTACTCCAACAAAGAAATCTTCCTTCGGGAGTTGATCTCAAACTCATCTGATGCCTTGGACAAGATCCGCTATGAGTCACTCACCGACCCATCGAAGCTCGACAGCGGCAAGGAGCTTTACATCAAGATCGTGCCTAACAAGAGCGAAGGCACTCTCACAATCATCGATACAGGTATTGGTATGACAAAGGCAGACTTGGTGAACAACCTGGGTACGATCGCGAAGTCCGGAACAAAGGCGTTCATGGAGGCGCTACAGGCTGGTGCCGATATTAGTATGATCGGTCAGTTCGGTGTGGGTTTCTACTCCTGCTACCTGGTCGCCGACCGTGTCACTGTCCACTCCAAGCACAATGACGACGAACAGTACATGTGGGAGTCTGCCGCCGGCGGTTCGTTCACCGTCCGCCCAGACCACGGTGAGCCACTCGGCCGCGGTACGAAGATCGTCTTGTACATGAAGGAGGATCTCACAGAGTATCTAGAAGAGAACAAAATCAAGGAAATCGTCAAGAAGCACTCTCAGTTCATTGGCTATCCGATCAAGCTCGTCGTTGAAAAGGAACGCGAAAAGGAACTGTCCGACGACGAGGCCGAGGAGGAGAAGAAGGAAGAGAAAGAGGATGACAAACCTAAAATTGAAGACGTGGGCGAGGACGAAGAAGAGGACACGAACAAAGATAAGAAGAAAAAGAAGACCATCAAAGAGAAGTACACCGAAGACGAGGAACTGAACAAGACCAAGCCGATCTGGACGCGCAACGCTGATGACATCACACAGGAGGAGTACGGAGACTTTTACAAATCGCTCACCAATGACTGGGAGGACCATTTGGCGGTGAAACACTTCTCCGTTGAAGGTCAACTGGAGTTCCGTGCACTGCTGTTCGTGCCGCGCCGTGCGCCCTTCGACCTCTTCGAGAACAAGAAGCGCAAGAACAACATTAAACTGTACGTCCGCAGGGTATTCATTATGGATAACTGCGAAGACCTAATCCCAGAGTACCTTAACTTCATTAAGGGAGTGGTCGACAGCGAGGACCTGCCCCTCAACATTTCACGTGAAATGCTCCAGCAGAACAAGATTCTCAAAGTAATTAGGAAGAACTTAGTTAAGAAGTGCTTGGAGCTGTTCGAGGAGTTGGCCGAAGACAAAGAGAACTACAAGAAGTTCTATGAACAGTTCAGCAAGAACCTGAAGCTCGGCATCCACGAAGATTTCCAAAACAGGTCGAAGTTGGCAGACTTGCTTCGCTATCACACGTCCGCGTCCGGTGACGAAGCATGCTCCCTCAAAGAGTACGTGTCACGCATGAAGGAGAACCAGAAACACATCTACTACATTACCGGCGAGAACCGGGACCAGGTGGCGAACTCTTCGTTCGTCGAGAGGGTTAAGAAGCGTGGCTACGAGGTTGTGTACATGACCGAACCCATCGATGAGTATGTCGTCCAACAGCTGAAGGAGTTCGACGGCAAGACGTTGGTGTCTGTCACGAAGGAGGGTCTGGAGCTTCCAGAGGACGAGGAGGAGAAGAAGAAGCGCGAGGAAGACAAGGTCAAGTTCGAGGGCCTCTGCAAGGTAATGAAGAACATCCTAGACAACAAAGTCGAGAAGGTCGTGGTCTCCAACAGGCTGGTGGAGTCTCCGTGCTGCATCGTTACCGCGCAGTACGGCTGGTCCGCTAACATGGAGCGAATCATGAAGGCGCAGGCGCTCCGCGACACGTCTACGATGGGCTACATGGCGGCCAAGAAGCACCTCGAGATCAACCCCGACCACTCCATCGTCGAGACGCTGAGGCAGAAGGCGGAGGCGGACAAGAACGACAAGGCTGTCAAGGACCTGGTCATCCTGCTGTACGAGACTGCGCTCCTCTCGTCTGGCTTCACGCTGGACGAGCCGCAGGTGCACGCGTCGCGCATCTACCGCATGATCAAGCTCGGGCTGGGCATCGACGAGGACGAGCCCATCCAGGTGGAGGAGACCGGCGCCGGTGAGGTCCCACCGCTGGAGGGAGACGCGGACGACGCGTCGCGCATGGAGGAAGTGGATTAGATCTCCGCTATTCGTCCGCCTAATTTAGCCATGTTGTAATGGTGTTTTTGTGTGATCCCGATCGCCGTTTCATTTGTGCACTGGTGTACAGCCAAAGACTGATTTAGTTCAAACAATTCCATTATTAATTTAAATTAATAATAATAAAACTTAAACTATGTTTATTTGCGCTTTTCTTTTTTTTTCCCATCTGCAAATGTAAGGCCAAAGAACTTATGATTTAATAAAAATTGCAAAATAACTTTTTAATTATTTCTGTACATACTTTTTTTTTAACCTTACAGTCAATATAGTCCTTTTTTGAAATAAGAACTTAAATTATTCTGAATATTTTGTAAAATTTTTTACTTAAAATTTAAACTTAATTTTTTCTTTAAAATTTATAAATGAGCTTTCATCATGAAAGTAGTACAGTAGACATACCTACTATTGCATTAAATTCCCAAAAATTAATTGCATGCTATGCATTAAGGAATCTAACGTCCGAAAATTAACATACATAAGTTTTTACTGTTATTTCTGGCGCTTTTCTTCAATATTCATTGACTGATTTCCTGAAAACCTAAAATTTACATAGATATTTTCGTATTTACTCTTTCGTGCAAGACAAGGCGTTCGTTCATTCCTGGGTCCAAAATAACGTTGAGTGCTGTGAGTCAACATTTCATAACTCATTTTTTAATCGCTTTACATTATAAAATCTATTTAACTCTTCGTTTAAAACGTTAAACTAAGAAATATACAATGATTAGTTTGTTTTTAATCCTCCATTTATTCACACCGCAATTCATTTAAAATGTTTTTTATTAACCTCATTTTACTTTTAATTTTCGTTAATAATTACCCCTTTACGCAGTTAATACTTACCCCTTTTCGAAATCCGCGAAATAGCGCGGATGGAGAACCCACACTACTAGTTTATCTAGAAGAGTGCAAAATGCTTATATATTTTTAAATTATGCATAAAACACATTAAATCAATAAAAAAATATATATGGTCGAATTTCGACCACTAGTATCAAGTAGGTGCACGATACTGTTCAGGTGAATTGATCCCCTTGAAAAAAAACAAAAAGGTTTAAAAAGATTTCGAGCTTACAGACGTACATAAAGACGGGAGTTAACAAAATCACTGATAATTAAAATAATCACATGAATGAAATATTCAAGTTTTCGAATATCCTTGAGATGCATAGATTAGTGCATAAATCAAACGAGCGATTTATTAGGTAGGTTCGATAAAACAATTACAATTCTTAAAAACCGGCCAAGTGCGAGTCGGAAACGCGCACGATGGGTTCCGTAACATTATCTATAAAAACGGCAAAAAATCATGATTTGTTGTATGGGAGCCCCACTTAAATATTTTTAATTCTGTTTTTTATTATTTGTTGTTATAGCGGTAACATATATGAATGATCTGCTCATGTCAGTTGCCTATGGGTACGAGTCCTCGGGTCAGTAGAGATCACATCCAGTCCGAAAGAGAGGCCACGGTAGAGCGTTTGAATCTTACATTGCAGACGGTCCCTGAATAGGGAGATACCAATCCTGTGAGATTCAACGCCTCGAAAACACAGGCGTGTCTTTTTTCCGCAAAAAGGAGCCCTTTCAACTTGGCTCCTACTTTCCAGAATGTATCCTTGGAGTTTACCGACCGCCTTCAGTTGTTGGGAGTCGAAATATCCTCAAACCCCAACTTTGGGCGGTTCGTTGAGTCTAGAGCCAGGGCAGCTGCAAGGAGTTAGGCGTCCTTGCAAAGGTGCGACGGTACTTCACGCCGAGGCAGCTTCTTGCTCTAGACAAGGCTCAAGTCCGATCGTGTGTGAAGTACTGTTGCCATATCTGGGCTGAGGCTGCAAAATGCCATCTGGCTGCCTTGGACTCAATGTAGAGGCGTGCGGAAAGGCTCATTGGTGACCATAACTTGGTGAAAACCAATCTCACTAGCCTTGAGCACAGGGGCAGACTAGCCAGCCTCCCGGTTTTCTACAGGATACATTTTAGAGAGTGTGTGTTGGAGTTTCATGATCTTATTCCGCCCGGCCCTTTCCATCATCGGACAACCAGGCGTTCGGCGGGGCTCAACCCTTATGCTGTCGACGTTCCACGTACAAGAACAAAGCGATTCGCTTCTTCATTTATCATCCGTACAGCTAATGAATGGAATACCCTGCCGGCGTCCGTCTTTCCGTCCGAATACAACGTTGGCGTCTTCAAGACAAGAGTGAATAGGTTTCTATTGAGCTAGCGCGATTACCATCAACGGCCGCATCGCCACTTGCCATCAGGGAAGGCAGTCAAGTGCCGGCCAATTTTGAATTAAAGAAATAAAAAGAAATACATCATCTGAGAAAATTTCAACTGTCTAACTATCATGGTTCATGAGATACAGCCTGGTGACAGACGGACAGACAGCGGAGTCTTAGTAATAAGACATAAGGCATTTAATCCGTCACTTAATCTGTACACAATTATGTAATAGGGTCCCGTTTTACCCTTTGGGTACGGAACCTAAAAAAAATGTTTTCTGCTCTTCATTAATTACGACCGCACACAGAGACGCTGTTTAGCGCGAGATGTAATTCTACGAGGAGTTTTCTTAACGCGTCATACGTATGCAATACACCGTAAGTATTGTACCGGCTCCATGACGTGTCAATTTAGAATATTTGACAGGGACGTGATTATGATTACGTAATTTGAAGTGGTGTACAAAGTAAGAGACAACGTGAAGAAACATAAAAGCGGAGTTTCGCGCTGCTGATAAAATAAGTTTTTAAAGTTTATTTTGAAAAATACTAAAAATTCTCTCCAATTAGAAACGTTGGCAACCATAATCTAAAAAATAAATTCACAAATAAACAAATTTGGCTAGTGTTTTACGGCGGTAGAGCCCACACAGCAGCCTCGACTGTTGAACGAATGGGCAGGCCTCGTCCGGGGAAGTACCACGACCTCACAGAAGACCAGCTTAAAGTGGAAGTATATTACTTTCGCGTTTCGTCTGGTGAGTGAGGTAGCCGGAGCCCAAGTTTCAAAAGGTTGTCAACGCATCTGCAAACCCTCGGGTGTAGCAGATGTCCATGGGCGGTGGTATTCACTTAAAATCAAGTGAACCACCTGCTCGCTTGGCAACTGTTCACATAAAAAAAGCCGTTGATCAAAAATACGAAACTTCAAACTCTGTCTGTTACTAATACTAATTTATAATTATTAAGATATTTATAAAGATATCAATATCGGCCTCGATATAATACAGATCTCTTTAGGCCCCGTTGTCCAAAAAAAAGTCAAGTCAAGTATTAAATATTTGACATACCTTTTTAGTACCTAAGTACCGGATTCAAATTTGAAAAATATCGTTTTTGATACGATTTCGACATTGAAAATTTTGTATCGGTATATCGATATATTGGATCCAAGTATATCGGCTAAAAATCGATCGAAAGTACTTTTTATCTGAAAAACGACGAAGTCCGTTTTCATTAGTCCGTGAAAGTTCAGGATTCGTGTAATTATATTATGTCTTATTAAAACGCAAATGCTATACATTTTAAATAAAACTATTATACGTATTTGTCGCGTTTTAGTTTGTTTTTGAATTTGGGTTTTAGATAAAATTATTTTCTTAATAAAAATATTACGTACTATAAAAAAAAAATGTGTAAAAAGTTGGCAAGCGAGCTGACTGTACACCCGATGTTAGTGACTGAAGCTGCTCACAGACATCTACAACACCTGGTGGGTTGCAGATGCGTTGAGAACCTATTTAAAAGTGAGCCCCGTTAACCACACTCCAACCAGACGAAATGCTAAAGTATAAAACTTCTGTGAAGCCGTTTCACTTCCCCGGATGAGCCTGCCCGTTATGGCGAATAGTTGCTAAATGTATTCAAACTGGGTAAACGCATGGGTCCTTAGGCAGTTCAACAGTAGACTTTAAGCCCTGAAATGATGATTTTGATTAACGATAACAAATTATGTGATTTTTTTTAATAGCTTACATATTTTGCAATGGGTAGGCCCTACGGGTCAACAGAACCATAGATAAGAAATAAATACTGAAAATGGACAGAGCAAAGACGACAATATATTATAGATGTTAATGTTATTACTGTGTTATTACAGGTGAAATAATAGAGATTTTACAAAATTAGAAAATTAGAATCGAGATGAAATTAATTTTGTTAATTTCAACTTCTTCTTAATTTACTTACACTTACACAATAAAAATATTATGAGAAAGACCATGTTATTGAAATAATCTTAATATAACAAACAAAGCTTTTGTTTTAGTGCAATCGATTCTGCAAATCATGTTCAAGTTTTGCTTCATATAAAGGATTAGTTACCCTTAGCGCCATCTAGTATGCAGTGAACAAATAAACAGTTTAGTAGATGGCGCTGTCATTAATTTGCATAAAAGATTTTTTTAAGGCGTAAGGACCTACACAGTTTTACCTTAACAGTAAGAAGTAGTTATAGCAGCTCTTTGGATTTTAAATGTAGTTAAAATTAAATTTGTAAACATATCCTAGATTTGAGTCCAATGAATCAAAGAAGAAGTGGAAAGCGTATTGTGAAAAATATGTTTCACAAACACCAACAAACCATTAAGAACAGACGACGTATATGCGATTAATAAAAATAATAAGCTGAAAATAGGCTAACTTCAGAAAGACAATCTTAAAACGCTGAACCAGCAAACAAAAGAAGAGTTGACAACAAATAAGCGGAAATGTTTCGAGGACTATTTAAGTACAAGACTTTGTTACAAGATATTTTTGGGAATAAAAATCATTTAAAAATATCACCATGTTTGGTAAATCATCATAATAGGTATCCTAAAAAAGTAAGTCCAGAAAAATGAAATAAAGTCGCAAAGTTACTCCAGCCCGCCGAGGCTTCTAGAAAGAGTTGATGAAAAATTTTAAACAAATCTAATTTATCTTATTCGTTTTTAGCGTCCACAGTGTTTATAATACATCTTTAAAAAAATATTATCGCTTTCAACTTTTGTGCTGCTGATTTAAAAAAAATAACATTTCAAAAATAACTTTTACTTCCATGATTTGTTGTATTTACTACCTACTACTAGGTATTAAATAACATCGCTTATAACATTTATTTACGTATACTTCTCCACGATTCACCTTCGGACGTGGTAGAAAATTCCAGTATATTTAGCGACATATTTCTAGACGCACGGCTCTGACCCAGTTGCCTGGCATTGGTTGGATCAATAACAGAGTGGCGCGGCGCCGCCCTTTTGGCGATGCATTTCCAGAACATTCTAGAGTTGTCTGCGATTTTATGGAACACTATTCTCTTATTTATGCGAATGTTACACATTTTAATAAAACGGATTTCATCGCAGTTTATTTTTATTTAATACTCCCGGTTATTCAATACGTCTTAATAATTTAATAGTAATCTTAATTTTTTTTTCTTTGTCTTAGTCAATGATACATATTATAAAATATCATTGGTCCTAGTGTTAACATCTGTTTTTTTTTACATGGAATTATGAGCTCGAGCTGATATATAATTTACAAAACATTCCTAAAACACACACCAAACGCATTTATTAAGAGTACTTACCTAGTATATAAATTTTTCTTACATTAATAAATAAATTAACTAAATAAATATTCTAGGACACAACGTTCTCTAGTCCCAAGGTAGTCAACGCTTGTACTATGGGTACTTGATACCTGATAAACATATTTAAACATACTTTTCTTTTATAAATAAATACATATTAAACATACATAAACACCCAGACACTTGAAAAACACTATATTTATCATACATAATGTTTCCAGTACTAGTGAGATCGAACCCACACTATCGAACTCGCACTACCCTTTTCGTCAACTGCGGGTCCTACAAAATTTTTATTGTTAGGTTTTTGCATAAAACAATTGTCAGGTTTTTGCATAAAACAAAATAATTTAATAATAAAATAGAAAATATACTTTTTTATTAACTATTGATTCTTTTTTTAAATTGTCGACAATAATACATACCATTTGTATTTAAGTTGTAACACATTTTTGAGCATTTTACATGAGCATGAGTATTAATATTTTCCATACAATTGTTTAAAACATGTTGATCTTAGATTATTTATAAGTATATGCATATAAATAAACTAAGGAGTAATGTTAAAATAATCCCATTGCCAATAATAATTGCGAAAATGCCGCTATAGCACAGCTACTTAAAGTATCTTCCCACGTATATTGTTCTAAATACGTAAAAATGACATCACCTGATAGATTTAATTTGGAATTGGTAAACAAATTATATGTAACTAATATTAGCCATTGTTTAATTTAATAATTGAAAATCTTTATCGAATCGTAAGTAGGTAATACTAGAAAAATAAGTAATAAATATTTTTTGATAATCCGTGTATTATAATGCATTGTAACAATAACTATTTCATAAAAATAACTTGACAAGACTAAAGGTTGATTATTGAGTCTATTATTATAAATAAAATTCGGGTATCGTTGGATATCAGTTATAGGTACTATAGTTTGAAGAAAATTTCCAGCTTAGGACACTATTTACTAGGTGCAAGGTTGTTGTACTGTGTACTAAATACTAATGTCTCACGTTCAATGTTGATTCGGGAAGGTTTGAAAATGTGGCAGTACTAAAAATGTTTTTTCCTTCATATAAATTATTTGTATTAAGTTTTCAATTAAATATTTTTATACTGATTTTTATTTAACTTTGCTGAATTATTTAATCTAAGATTACATTTACTGACGACTTGGTTAATTCATTTAAAATAATCCACATAGAAAAATAATTATTTATCAAAGCATTGCAAAAACATTTATCGGAAATAATAATTTGATGCTTAAATGAGTGTAGAACGTTAAATGTACCAAAATTAGGGAAAAATTTAAACTTCTGGTATTATTACACAAGCTATTCTGAACATCGCCATTTTAGATGCGCAAGGTTGTCATTGGTCGATGAAACGGGAGTCTGGAATGTTCGACGAGCGTTGTTTGCTGATTGGTTCATTCTTGAAACGAGTTGATGTTTCTAGAATTTGATTCGTTTAATATAAAAGCGCACAGACCGGCGCGGAAAATCAGAATTATTTGAAACGCGATACGAAGAGGACTACGAGAGAAGAGTTCGGTGTTTACCGAAATTGTTTTCCGAGACAATACACGATATTTCTGTCTATAAGTGATTCATAAAATAAGGAAAATGCCAGCAATTGGAATCGATCTGGGAACGACGTATTCGTGCGTCGGCGTGTGGCAGCACGGCAACGTGGAGATCATCGCCAACGACCAGGGCAACAGGACGACGCCTTCGTATGTGGCATTTACGGACACCGAGAGGCTCATCGGAGATGCGGCCAAGAACCAGGTGGCCCTCAACCCCAGCAACACACGGTGTTCGACGCGAAGAGGCTTATCGGGCGCAAGTTCGACGATCCCAAGATCCAAGCGGACATGAAGCACTGGCCCTTCAAAGTGGTTAACGACTGCGGCAAGCCCAAGATTCAGGTCGAATTTAAGGGTGAACAGAAGAGGTTCGCTCCCGAGGAGATCAGCAGCATGGTGCTGACGAAGATGAAGGAGACTGCGGAGGCATATCTGGGAAACACAGTGCGTGACGCCGTGATCACCGTGCCAGCGTACTTCAACGACTCTCAGAGGCAGGCCACGAAGGACGCAGGTGCCATCGCAGGGCTGAACGTGCTTCGCATCATCAACGAGCCCACGGCGGCCGCGCTGGCGTATGGTCTGGACAAGAACCTCAAGGGCGAGCGCAACGTGCTGATCTTCGACCTCGGCGGCGGCACCTTCGACGTGTCGATCCTGACCATCGACGAGGGCTCCCTGTTCGAGGTGAAAGCGACTGCCGGCGACACGCACCTGGGAGGCGAGGACTTCGACAACCGACTGGTGAACCACCTCGCGGACGAGTTCCAGCGCAAGTACAAGAAGGACCTGCGCTCGAACCCGCGCGCCTTGCGACGCCTCCGCACCGCCGCCGAGCGCGCCAAGCGCACGCTCTCCTCCCAGCACCGAGGCCACCCTGGAGATCGACGCTCTCTACGAGGGCATCGACTTCTACACGCGCGTCTCCCGCGCCCGCTTCGAGGAGCTCAACTCGGACCTGTTCCGCGGCACCCTGGAGCCAGTGGAGAAGGCGCTCAAGGACGCCAAGATGGACAAGAGCCAGATCCACGACGTGGTACTGGTGGGCGGCTCCACGCGCATACCCAAGGTGCAGAGCCTGCTGCAGAACTTCTTCTGCGGCAAGAAGCTGAACCTGTCTATCAATCCCGACGAGGCGGTGGCGTACGGCGCCGCCGTGCAAGCTGCCATCCTAAGCGGAGAATCTGACTCCAAGATCCAAGACGTACTGTTGGTAGACGTGGCGCCGCTGTCTCTCGGCATCGAGACGGCCGGTGGTGTCATGACCAAGATCATCGAACGCAACTCCAAGATCCCGTGCAAGCAGTCGCAGACATTCACCACTTACTCTGACAACCAACCAGCGGTCACTATTCAGGTGTACGAGGGCGAGCGCGCGATGACCAAGGACAACAACCTTCTTGGCACGTTTGACCTGACGGGCATTCCACCGGCGCCGCGCGGTGTGCCAAAAATCGACGTGACATTCGACATGGACGCCAACGGCATCCTGAACGTGTCCGCAAAAGAGAACAGCACGGGCCGCAGCAAGAACATCGTGATCAAGAACGACCGGGGCCGGCTGTCGCAGGCAGAGATCGATCGTATGCTCGCTGAAGCAGAGCGCTATAAAGAGGAGGACGAGAGACAGCGGCAGCGTGTCGCCGCCCGCAACCAGCTCGAGGCGTACGTGTTCAGCGTGAAGCAGGCGGTGGACGAAGCGGGCGAAAAGCTAAGCGAGAGTGACAAGGCCACCGCGCGGCAACAATGTGACGACGCTCTCCGTTGGCTCGACAACAACACGCTGGCCGACCGCGAAGAGTACGAGCACCGGCTCAAGGAACTTCAGCGTGTCTGCTCGCCACTCATGAGTAAGATGCATGGAGCAGCACAGGGCGGTATGCCTGGCGGTATGCCAGGAGCTCAACGGGAAGGCCCCACGGTGGAGGAAGTTGATTAAAGCATTAAATATATAGTTTTTTTGCCAAAAATGTGATATTAAGTTTAACCATATTGTTAAGACTGATAATTTATTTTAAACGCAGACGGTGATCATCTATTACAAATAAATGAAAAACATTAAATTTGTCTTCTCTTTTTTTTTTTCCTTTTTACCTATTATGCAAATTATCAAAACAAAAAATAAGTCTTTTACAAGAAAGCAAATATTCTATAAACACAGCAACTTTTTTTAATTTTGGTCTTAAATTTGAGAGTTTTTTAATGTGTACTCAATGATTCCTGTCCTGTGAATGTTCTAATGTTAAGGAGCGAAGTTGATTAAAGTTTCCTATAGTTATGTAGAAATTTTAAGTATTTATGTTTCCGATCGATTAATTTAACTTTAATGTTAAAGACAACATTAATCATGTACAAAAATAGAAATACCAAATACGCCATCTATAACATAATTATATATTTCTATTATTAGCTCTTTTGACTGCACTATTCTAGGAGTGAGGAAGGAGGATAGGTATTTATCGTAACAGGTATCTCGACAAACAGACTATACATACCTGTTACGTAAAAACTTAAATAACAGTTCCTGTTCCACACAGATTGCTCGCTCCTTAACACGCTGTCATAAGCTTTTCTTTATTCATGCTTACGACTGTCACCTTAGTTAGAAAGAGATAAAAACTGTCAACAGATAAAACCTTGTCACAGCTGTTACTGAACACTGTCACTGTTACAAGCTAAGCCCTTTCTTTTTCTTGCATCGGTGTTAAAGCTTTGTTAGAAAGAGAGGTACGGACGTTACCATAGAGTAACATACTTTAACAGCCGTTACTAAGGTAACGGTTACACAAATTGTCACAACATAGTATGAAATAACAGGCTGTTATTTTATAACAAGTATTTGTCCAAGTATTGTCTTTTACTTTTATTTTTTTTTTTCTTGTTGTAACAAAATCCACAGCCCTTTTTGAAATATATATAAATCATATTACTTAAAGCCCATTTAGATTTACATTATTCTGCTAAATTATTTAAATTACGACAGTAGAAAACATGAACTCTTTTGATACTTAGGCATTATTATGGATTACTTGTACGTGCGTGCGTGTGTGTTTGCGTGCGTGTGTGTTTGTGTGCGTGTGTGTGAGTGGGTGTGGTTAAGATGCCATTTACTCCTTCAATACTTTTAATACCCCACTTTTGAACTTATCTTTATTTGTGTTAAAGTTTTATTTTATTAGTTTTAAGGAACAGGAACAGGCGTAACAGGTACTCGATTTAACCTAGCATAGCTTACTCATGGAATACATGCATAGGATACAGGCATGGAAGTAAAAATCAAGGCGCTTTCTTCAATCTGTAAAGTTATGCAGTTGTAAGGCATTTTATGCACTAGATCAATAACGATATAATCCATAGTTTCAATGGCAACCAAAAACAAGCCACTGCGAAGTGTGGTCGGTTATAGTTGATTTATAAATATTTCATTATTTCTTATTGTATATATATATATATATATATATAAAATAATTAAAGGGGCTTCACGTATTAACGAAAATAGCGCGGACGGAGAAGTATGAAATTTCCCACACTTATAGTTTATATACAGAACGAGTGGAGAATGGTGATATTTTTTTAAATTTATGCGAACAGAGCATTAAATCCATAAATAAAAACCTTACACACTACCATGTATAATTAATTATGGTCTATAGTATATTTATACTAAATTGTTATTCGGTGACTGATCACGGTACTGTGCGAAAATTTCTTAAGGATTAACAAGTAGAATTACATTGCAATAACTCCTAATGCTAGTTAATAGCAAAAACACACGTTTCATTCAAGAATATTCCTTTGCTTTTTGAGATTTAAAAGAGTATTTAGTTTGTCTTTTGTCATTGATAGTAGTGATAGCAGTAGGTACCTATATAAATAAATATGTAATGTGTAAAAATGATTTAAAAATGCGATAAAATCCGTAAATATAATTTCGTTAAACAATGTCAGTATTGACTTAAAAATAATAAATAATTAAGTTTTAAATAGTATACAGATACGGTTGTAGGTACGTGCATATTTTCTTATTTAAATTTCTTTTGGTTTTGCAGTTATTAACAAATAAATAACAAATGTAAAAGAAAAACTTTGATTCTAGCCACGATCAATGAAGTCTGACTTTCAAGACTTCATGGCAACAAATTTTAATAAAATCGTTTCTTTACAAGGTACAAAAGTTGTTGAAACATAAAACGTCCATCATTCTATTTAAACTATATAGATCAATGGTTATTGCTTTTACTTTATTCACTCCACAATACACATGGCACTATCCACCCATAGGAACTCATATAGGTGTATACCTAGTAGCAGCAGTGTAGTATTATACTGTTCGAACTATCTATATTACGTAAATAATAATTACATTAGTAAAGTAACAAAAGAGAATAATGGAGCAAATAGAACAAGCTTCCATCTAGTAGCGAAAATTGGAAGTAAATTAGTACATATCATATTATCTTTACAAGCTTTTATCTTACTATCTCTTTCGCACGCTGAGTATCAGTTCAGTACAATACAAGTTGCTTCGAGGATGTTCAAGAAACTTCGACCGACGATAGAAATGTTGCCAAGTTTTAAATTTTTAGGTGAAACAATGAACATACATGAAAAACTTACAACAATGAAACTTAGTTCTACTACCTTTAGTTTAACTATTTTAAAATTTATGAAACCTCTGAAATAATTACCAAGTATTTCATATTAAATTGAACTATTATTGTGAAATAGATGTTTACTTTCGGAAGATTGTATGTGTTAATTGCGATAATTTTAATATAAGTTCCGCCTTCATTCTTCTTTACAATTTCCTTAAATACTCTTTTCCTATTGATTTCTTGTTGTTTTGAGTTCTTATTCATATAATATTATCTATTTTCAAATTTAATTTAAATTTTCAACCCCATACACATAATAAATGTTTACTAACTACGAAAATATTTAAATTTAGAAAAAAAAATATGAAGAGTACATGGATGTCCCATATTTCAGGAGAATTTAGCGCGTCCGGTATCCCTACGCCTAAGCAGTATGACGTTATTCAAGCCATCTCTTTCTAGCCGACGGTTTTAATTGGTCTGTGACGACATTTCCAGAACGTTCTCGGAGCCGTGCGTCACTATTGGTCGGTTCTCAAAGGAACTGGACGATTCTAGAATTTGATTCGTTCAATATAAAAGCGCGGCGCCTAGCGCGCTAACTCATACTGATTTGAAACACGAAACGAAGAGTATTGTAAGGAGAAGATTTCGGTGTTTACCGAAGTGAATTAACAAACGATTAAACATTATTTCTCTGCATAAGGTTATTCAATTAAAATAAACAACATGCCAGCTATTGGAATAGATCTGGGGACAACGTACTCATGTGTCGGCGTGTGGCAGCACGGCAACGTGGAGATCATCGCCAACGACCAGGGCAACAGGACGACGCCTTCGTATGTGGCATTTACGGACACCGAGAGGCTCATCGGAGATGCGGCCAAGAACCAGGTGGCCCTCAATCCCAGCAACACGGTCTTCGACGCGAAGAGGTTGATTGGGCGAAAGTTTGACGACCCCAAGATCCAAGCGGACATGAAACACTGGCCCTTCAAAGTGGTTAGCGACTGCGGCAAGCCCAAGATTCAGGTCGAATTTAAGGGTGAACAGAAGAGGTTTGCTCCTGAGGAGATCAGCAGCATGGTGCTGACGAAGATGAAGGAGACTGCGGAGGCATATCTGGGAAACACAGTGCGTGACGCCGTGATCACCGTGCCAGCGTACTTCAACGACTCTCAGAGGCAGGCCACGAAGGACGCAGGTGCCATCGCAGGGCTGAACGTGCTTCGCATCATCAACGAGCCCACGGCGGCCGCGCTGGCGTATGGTCTGGACAAGAACCTCAAGGGCGAGCGCAACGTGTTGATCTTCGACCTCGGCGGCGGCACCTTCGACGTGTCGATCCTGACCATCGACGAGGGCTCCCTGTTCGAGGTGAAAGCGACTGCCGGCGACACGCACCTGGGAGGCGAGGACTTCGACAACCGACTGGTGAACCACCTCGCGGACGAGTTCCAGCGCAAGTACAAGAAGGACCTGCGCTCGAACCCGCGCGCCTTGCGACGCCTCCGCACCGCCGCCGAGCGCGCCAAGCGCACGCTCTCCTCCAGCACCGAGGCCACCCTGGAGATCGACGCTCTCTACGAGGGCATCGACTTCTACACGCGCGTCTCCCGCGCCCGCTTCGAGGAGCTCAACTCGGACCTGTTCCGCGGCACCCTGGAGCCAGTGGAGAAGGCGCTCAAGGACGCCAAGATGGACAAGAGCCAGATCCACGACGTGGTGCTGGTGGGCGGCTCCACGCGCATCCCCAAGGTGCAGAGCCTGCTGCAGAACTTCTTCTGCGGCAAGAAGCTGAACCTGTCCATAAACCCCGACGAGGCGGTGGCTTACGGCGCCGCCGTGCAAGCTGCCATCCTAAGCGGAGAATCTGACTCCAAGATCCAAGACGTACTGTTGGTAGACGTGGCGCCGCTGTCTCTCGGCATCGAGACGGCCGGTGGTGTCATGACCAAGATCATCGAACGCAACTCCAAGATCCCGTGCAAGCAGTCGCAGACATTCACCACTTACTCTGACAACCAACCAGCGGTCACTATTCAGGTATACGAAGGCGAGCGCGCGATGACCAAGGACAACAACCTTCTGGGCACGTTTGACCTGACGGGCATTCCACCGGCGCCGCGCGGCGTGCCCAAGATCGACGTGACATTCGACATGGACGCCAACGGCATCCTGAACGTGTCCGCCAAAGAGAACAGCACGGGCCGCAGCAAGAACATCGTGATCAAGAACGACCGGGGCCGGCTGTCGCAGGCAGAGATCGATCGCATGCTCGCTGAGGCAGAGCGCTATAAAGAGGAGGACGAGAGACAGCGGCAGCGTGTCACCGCGCGCA